ACGCAAAACAAGTAATAAAAAAAGTATCACCTAAATATTATACTTTGTGTTCTCTCGCTAAAATCCCCATACCATTCCTTACATTCATTTCTTCCACCTCGACAATCTTCTGCCATCACATTATGCAATTCTGGACATTCTGCTTTCTTTCATTATAAAAATTCTCTCTGCTTTATTTTTATTAATCATTTAAACTCTATTATAATTAAATCATACACAATAAAATTTGTTTTCTCTCTGTCTGTATGTATATGTGTATGTATAAATTCCAATATTCTGCAGGCATTTATCCTACCTACTATTATTTCTTTTTATTTGATGCATATCACTGAATTGAGAGGAACTCACCAGCCACAGCACCTTCCATAATCAAAGATCTTCTATTGAAAGAACACAGTGCATTCATGACAACTGCCCTCAAGCTGTGGACTCCAGCATCGCCATTTTCTAAAATTAATTCATTCCATATACATTTAATAAAGGTATAGAAGGTCATATGCTTGCCTTCTAGTCCCAGGACCAACCAAAGAAACTTAACTCCCTAAACCTAGCAATAAGAGCTTGGTTGTCTTTGGAAAAAGACTATTAGAAAACAGAGAAACTTCACTCATTAAACCTAGCAAAAAGAGCAGGTTTGTCTTGTGAAATAGATTATTATAGGAAACAGTGATATAATTTGCTATTGAAAATCCTTCCAATATCTATATATATTGTAAATACTTATGCCAAGAATACAATAATAACACCACATTTGTAATGTAAGTTGAGTACAGTACCTTGAAGGAAGGTGTTAATGCGGATGATAACAGCAGTCTGTGCTTCTTCAACCTTGCTCACATCTATGTTGTCAGTAGCAGCAGCCTTTTCTGCTGCTCTGACCATCTTCTTGTTAGCTTCTAACATCAGTTCATGCAACTTGGTTTCCACTCTTAATATGTGAGTTACTTTGTTTTCATCTGCCTGCGAATACCTACTGTGAAACGTCTGCATCAATGCTTTGCACCTGGCAAGATAAATAAGCTTAGATGAGAAGTTTTTAGCCACACAACTGATAAAACCAGAACTGCCAACTAACAACTCAGGTGTATAATTTGCTATAGATACAATGTGTCCACTACATAAATAAAACTATTGCAGGAGAGAATTACAACATAAATCACTACAGCTTACTTTGCAGAGGTAAAATCAGACATCAGGTCTTGCAACCATGCATGCCAAACAAATGCACGATTCATCTCTGCAAAGTTCTTTGGAAACTGAAATTAAAAAGAAAAGGAGTTGCATGGGTTTCAAATTTTAATGAATGATGAGTGATGTTGTTAGTCTTAAGCTGGGCACCACAGTTTTACAGCCTCCGCACGACAAATCCAACGTGATGCCATCTGCTCATAGTCGGTGGCTGTCTGAATGCATCGTTAAGAACGATCCACTGTACCTGCACTGTAGCGTTGCGATCTTCATAGAATGGCGTCGAACAACAACGGTCAAGCAGAGTGAGCGCCAAGTTTTTGAATGAAATACTGAATAGTTTTAATGGTAATATTAAATGGTATACTTGTTAATTTTGCTAATTTAATAATTTAATGGTAATATTTAATGGTATATTTGTTAATTTTGCTAATGATAGTTAGAGTTGCCTTACCGTTGTGATCATAGCAGCATAAGTTTGAAGGGTTTCCAAACAACTCTTAATACATGCTCTACGTTGAGTCAACAGTCCATTTAACTCTCCCTCCATAAGCTCACACTATAGTAACAAAATAGGAAGCTTATCAACACCACAACAAAAATAAGTTTTCCCTCTTGAAGTTTCAAGCGTACATGAAATCTTAAGCCATATATATTCATCATGCAGTGTTAGAGTTATGGTTTCGATCTTTATGGTATACATTTATTTTATTGGATCTGCAGATTGCTTTCCAATAACACAATTAAAATCAAACCAACAAACATTCCATCCTGTAACTGAAAATAAAAAATTTCTAAACTTCACTAGAGTGACTCTCTAGCTTAATGCAGAGGTGACTTGCTCCCATGATATACACACAGACACATGTGCACACAGAAATATATATACACATACACACACAGGCACATGCATACATTTATGAACAGAAACAGGTACACACCGCATGTACACACCGCATGCGCACAACGCAGACACATGAATACAAAAACATTACTGCACCTGCGAGATAACTTGGCCTTGGCCAGCATTCTTCATAACAGCAACAGCAGCAGCATGGAATGTTGGCTCTGAAATCACAAGAACCAAACATATTTAATAATAAAATATAATATAAAAATTATAAAATTCAATTACTGCTCTAAGTACATGTATATTTCATTTCATTACACTAGGCTTGGCCCAGTTGCATATAGGCCTAGTTGATGTGAGTTTTGATGTGCCATATGAGGTGCTAGCATTTTGTATCTGCGAAGAAAGCTGCTATAAATAAATGAGAATGAATGAATCCAAACCAATATTAATTTATTTCCAGAAATTCAAAACAGCAATAGAAAACATAGAGAATACTTCACAATACATGATTAAATCATATATTTGTAGGAAATACAAAAAACTGATGCGAGAAACATCTGGAAATATTTCTATCAGTTCCCAGGATTGCCTGCGAGGGTGAGCTTCTAGACAACCAGGTTAAAGCTTCTTGGCAGCTAGGTCAAAGCTTCCCGACAACCAGGTTAAAGCTTCTTGACATCTAGGTCAAAGCTTCCCGACAACTAGGTCAAAGTTTCTCATCCATAAAATAAGTGAGCTTACTTAATTGCAACTTGTTGTCCATTTCTGCAACCATGATGGCAAGCTGCCTACCCCTTGTTGTCTCCAAAGCAAGATCATGTTGCAAATGCCATCTTTCAAGCTCTGCTATCTTGTCTTTTATCATTCCTTCTGCCTCGCTTTTGGCTCTAGTAATTCCATGGAAAACATTGTACCTAAAAAAAAAAAATTACTGAAAAGTACGGTATACACTATAGCAAACATACACTGATGAATCACTACAGTATATTGTTTATCTTAATTGTCTATTCAAATGTACCGACATGTAACAAACAGATTGTCCTATATTTTGCCTTACACTCTACATTCTTTTTGTCTGGGTCGCATTTGGCTCTAGTAATTCCATGGAAAACATTGTAACCTAAAAATTAAAAAATTACTGAAAAGTATGGTATACCAGGGGCGGATCCAGAAATGTCCAA